GTCTTATTCCATCTGTGCGGCTTTAATATCGAAGGGCCTTTGCACACGTTGATCCATGGGGATCAGATACGTCTGATATAGATGTTTTAGAACGACTGAATCTTACGTTGGGACAAACACAACTATGCTTGGAGCCGAAGTACCATCCTGGGAAGCGAACAGGAGCTCTTCCACGAACACCCTTCAATTCGGAGATTTTGCACAACGTATGTATTACCGTTATCGTTGGTTGCATCAAAGCTAGGTTTAAGAGTATTGATCAGGGTGATGTGATTGTTTACTTTCTAACGAAACGTCTATCATGTCTGGGAACTAAGTGATTTGTTTGTGAATTTTACACGATTGGGGGAGGGTGCTATTTCGAATCCTTGTGATAATCTCAATTGCTCGATTCTGAACGTCCGCTACTTACCACATCATATGGCATCGAGTTTTCATCTAAACTTCTGGAATCGATTTGCGCAGCCGGCATTGGGGTATAGTAGCGTTGCCGAAGAAGAGAAAGCCGAGGAGGCAAAGACAAACGCTAACAACTTACCATCTATCCTGCAGTGGATGCGCAAAAGGTACATCAAGTCTGCTAGTTTAGAGAGCGTATTATAGTTATATATTGATAGTGGCAAGTCAAGTCTGCTAGTTTAGAGAGCGTATTGTAGTAGTATATTGATAGTATGCCAGTGTCTACATGCATAATTTGCTTTTGTCGCGCTCAATCGCAATTTTCGAATCAGACGAATTCATTTACAATAGAGAAAGCTTCTGACGAATGTTCTCTTTGTGCGCTTGTTTTATTAAGTGTCACCTATCCATTGCTACCGTAGTGTCTGCTTATATCATGGGTTCGCAACATGATATGATATGAAGAAATAAAAGTTATGCTTATGGTAGTATACTTTACTGGACAAGCACTGGACCGTGATCGACCGCTAATTTCTGACATTTTAATCGCAGATCCACCGTGGTAGACTCATATTGTAGATCAAACGATGTAACAGAGCTAGGTTACCAGGTCCTGCGCGAACACACTCAAGAAGATCCTTCTTTCAAAGACCATCGTAAGTGTAATCGTGCCCGCTAACATCATAAGTCGGACTCTGGAAATATTTCCAGCTTATATGCTGCCGAACTTCTTGTCCCTGAATTTAGCGAAGTTTTGTCTGTATGGATTTACCATATGTTGTTTACATTATTTATTTTTTATGCATTGCTTCACATGGTCAGGCTAAATATTCTGTATTAATATCCAAACAGCTGCCAATCAAGAGTATACTGTTATAGACATCAGTTCACAAAGGCGAAGGAACAAGTCACTAAAAAATAAGAACTCTGATGAGAATTCATCCTCGCGCGACGTGGAAGCCACGAGGTTTTCAAATTCTTCAGCTAGCACATCAAATTATTCAGTTAGCACATCGAATTCGTCAGCTAACACCTGAAATGCTGAAACATAACGTTGCAAAGCGTGTTCATCTGAAGCCCATGAAGTCCACGCTCGAATGCCAGCGACACGCCCATAATGTCTGAATCTGTTCCAGTTTGGCTACTGGCAAATTTATTAGAAATTAGTATCGCGATCAATATAATAGCGCAACATCATCTTAGAAAAAGTCGCAAAGCACTTTCCATGCACATAGTCCGTATGAAAGTAGGTTGCATGTTCACCTGCTAAGTTGACAGACAAGTGCAACATACTATATACACCATATACGGAAATACTGAAGGGCTCCATCGTTCCCTCTATCGAAACAACATCAGGCACAAAGTATGCCAGTATTTTCTTTGCAAGTCTTCAGTACGCTGTAGGACTGAGATAATGCCAAGGAAATAAATTTAGGATACCTAAACAGAATGACAGTACATGATTCTTTTAACGCCTTGATATTAAAATTCCCGAGTACACAGCGACAGATAATCGCATACTCTCCATTAGCATTTAATATATCAATGTTGTTCTGGGATCGCTACATATTTTTTTCTCAGATTGATGCACCATTTTCATCACAACAAGAATTCAGCACAGCTGACGACTATGGACCAGTCTTGGCAGACAGGTGCCCGTTCAACATTTGAACCGCTGTAGCTTCTGGCAGATTACAGTGTTAAAAGGTATCTCGATAGTATAACAGTGTACAACCAAAGGATTGTTTTGTGCAGATTGTTAGTGTATCCGATCGCAATCTCTCAACCGCCTATCCAATTTCAGCGTGTATTATGTCTTATCATTGCTCACAGCTTTGGTGCATGATAGTCGGTAGCGACTCAATGTTTCGTTCAATCTACTAAATAGCAACCTTTTAGAAGAAGAAAGTGTAGCGACAATCCTGTCACTGGAAAGACACGTACGAAATGCAGCGTCTAATGTTCCCTGAGTTGTACATGAATCGTTTTAAGGAGTATCGAATACATTGACCCCGCCTGGTACAGGATCGAACCCCACTAAACTTGGGTGATGCCCCAACATAGTTTGAGGAGAAAATATATAGCTGATTCAGCCCAATAGTCTATGCCGCAATAGACCAAGAAATACCAGGTTATTAAACTCTCTAACCATTCATGGTGGAATCAATGGCAGCGAATTCAATATCTTTCATACTATCTGTTTTCTAATGAATCTTAAGTGCACAGCTACACCTCAAACTACACAGCCTTTATATACGAACGCAGCCACGGCCACAAACGAGAAAAACATCCTCACAGCAGTCGATACGTTGTTACTTGATCAACTAGTAGGTCTACGACGCGTGAGAACTGTTGCATGGTAGCGTACAAACATCTCGCGTAGGATAATCGAATGTGCACTCAAATACACAGCCTGACAGTACACCGCGATACCCGCACTTTCTATATTTACTACCCTACCCAAATCAATACATCCGGATCATGTGTTTAGCCCATTCCGTGAAATCGAGCATAGTTTTTTTTCGCAGCTGGCGATACACTATTACTATTTACTTTCCTGCTATTAATTCATATTTCGTGGCGTGTGGAACAGGGAGAGCAGCCCGAAAAATATATCGGGTGGCTAAATACCGACACTCGGTCGACTTTAAATATGCTTGGCTGCATACAGATCTGACGATGTAGGGCCAAAATAGAGCAACGCATATGTGCCTCACGTATGTGACACAATAACGCGTTCTATAATGAACACAGGTAAGCATCGAGAGAACTTAGGCTTGTTTCAACTACTCTGAATATCAGTAATGCCAGATCGCAACGCATATGTTCGCCTCAAGATGAACACCAAATAGTTAAGCAAGCTATGCCCGGATTCAACTAGAACAGAATCCCACATGTCTGTATAAATGTGCAATGCAACTATTTTGTTTGTAAATATGGCCTATGTGGCACATTGCGTGCGATTGCGCTTCAGGGGGCGATAGTAGATTGCAAGTAAAGAGGATAACCCGATCATCGATGCTTTTTAGAAGTATAGCTCTATATTTCACAGTTTCAAACTCTCAGTCTCTCTCTCTCTAGTAGAGACCTAAAGAGAGAGAGGGCCTCTAGAGTCTAGAGTAAGTAAATCGTTTGTTTCTCGCCCAATGCACATCCTAAATGTGCCTTTCAGTCAATTGTAATATCAAATCTCTCCGAAAAGTATTATCGGTATGTTACCATGCGGCACATATTATAGTTAGCTCCTATCGCACCTCGACTGCTGATCTCCTAATTCCACCAACCTCTCTCCCATCCAAACACACACATACACATACATACACACACACACACACACACACACACACACACACACACACACACACACACACACACACACACACACACACACACACACACACACACACACACACACACACACACAC